GGTGACCTTGAAAAAAAGTGGAACGAAAGTGGATGTTGTTTCATTCTTCTCCTTCGTCCCGCCTTTTTTGACGTACTTCCGGTCCCCCTACACTACCCGACATCCAACATTATCACACTTCATCACAAATTTTAAATTTGACTTACTTGTTTCTTTCAAAAAAAAAAAAAAAAAAAAAAAAAAAAAAAATAAGCAGTTTCCAAAGAGATTGGAACTCCTGACCTTCTGCACGCTGGCCAAAGCCCTTATCCACTCTGCTATGAGCATGCCTGACATAAGGAACTCGATTACTTCGTTTTGTCGTACAGTTCGTTGCTTATTTTTAATGCAAATTTTTATTTACTGTGTATGCATTCATTTGGTTTGATTATACATTAAATAAATTGATGATTTATAATTTATTTAATGTAATTTATTCTTTAGGTACATGTTTCGAAAATTTTGAAATTAGTATATATTAGCAAAGCAGCTTGCATACTATGTAATAATAAACATTTATTTACTCATTACTAATTTGTTACTTTTAAAATGAATAAATAATTGTTTATACAATGTTTCATATTTTTTTTTAATTTTCAAAAATTAAAAAAAATTTTTTTTGTACTGTACAAATACAATAATAAATTTTTTGTGTGTGTTATTCTTTTACAATTTTTCCATTCGTAATTAAAGTAATTATTTGACTTAACGAGGTTCTTCACATAGTTACCGAGGGAACAGTTCAGAGAAGTGAAAGGAACGCTAATGTGTGAAGTAAAGCTAGCTATTGCTTTTCTCATGTGGATGTATTCTCATACAAGCTTTTACGTACACTTTATCCTCTCTTTCTAAATTTACTTAAAAACCAACTTGTGAGTCTATTTGAAAATTTGATAGGTTTATCTAAAAGTAATCTTTTGGACCCAAAAAATTAGGAGATTCCTACAATTTACATAAATACCATTTAACGTTATTTCTTCACAAGGTTACATGTTAAATATAGATTTTTTTAAATGTAACGTATATAAAATAATCGCACAATCAAACGAACTACAATTTTTGTGGGTATTTTTTATGCTATTTCAATATACGTTTGCCGTTTAAATAATATTTGTCACAAAACCTATGTGTGACGAACGCCCTGAAGGGACATTTACTGGCATGTAATACTACCCTATTAAAGAAAGCTATACTACAGGGTGGTTTTTTTTTTAATTTTCTGTATACAATTATATTTTGGGTATTAAATATGGACGAGGAATAAGAGTGGGGTCGTATGTGATACGTAAGTGCACGGTCTTGTACTGGCCAGCCTATATTTTATTTTTATTGTATTGTGCCGTAATATATTGTTTATAATCGTTAACTCATTAAATACTAAAATAGTTGTTGAAACCACACACAGCTAACGTAGGTATACTCTTTCCAACGATAATTGCACTATTTTTAAACACAATATCGTTTTATAGAAGGTAAATTTATATTTATAACTATATTATCTGCCATATAATTTTATAGAAGTAAAACTTCTTACTTGGGTACGCAAGCACCCACTGTCCACTGGTTTCAAGATCACTAGGAGCGCACTATCTTCAAATCTGCGTCTCGCTCATTGATTCAAATCTGCCAAAGCATCATGCGTATGTCAGTGCAGAAGGCTAATCGATGCACTCTACATCGTAGTAGTACAATAGGACGCACTGCCTGTAGTTTCGGACCAGGGTGCAGTGCACTGTTGAAGCTGTAATCAGCTGGAGTGGGTCAAGACGCATTGAAAACCACACGAAGCTTGTTCCGCTGACCTCTGGACTGCCAGATGCCACGGTGAGAACTAAAGTTGATAGGGTGGGATGTATTCTGGAGTTCCAGTATTTGGTCAAAAGACGTATATGCCCACACGTCAAGTACTCCTCCTCAAAGTGCTTGTACTAAGGGACCATCTCCAGGTTACGTCTCAAGCGTCAATGCAACTGCTGCAATGAAGTGAGTGCACCGGACAGGCTATCGCCCAAAAAATCATTTTGCTTCAGTTGTAGGTGAAGAATGTATCAACTATTTTTCGCGCTCTGGTACTGAGCGAAGATCTTCTTACATTTTTCAGCCCCAGGAGATCATCAGACAGTTCATGGCACGTCTTTAAGCCCCCAGAATCATTGGAAGAGAAATGCCAATTAATAGTGTTAAGATGGGACTTTCTTTTCCTGAACAGTGAGACAAGAAGCCAAGAATAAGTTGTTGTTTTCCAAGTGCGTGCAAGTCGTTACACTTTTAACTTTTTTTCCCTTGCTTACGTCACGTAGCGGTTCCAAGTGATTGGCTTGAAGGTTTGCCCAGTAATTTTTGAGAAGCTTCATCCTGACTTTTATGAGGCAAACAGTCCACTGCTTGATAATGACGATCGATTTGTTGAGGTGGTTAAGTGACTTACCAAGAGATTGTTTTGTAGAGCGAACGATTTTTCGCCTTCGTTGACCCTAAAATCAAGAGTTAAACGTTTGCTACTCAAGTGCAGCGGTGCTTGTCATGCTTTGATTTAATAAGGGCACTGGCCTAAGAGTGAGAGCTAAATAGTACAGAGCTAAAAAATGAAGATGATTTAAAAAACACAAGCAGAGAGCTTATATCTTCTTTGATGCCAGATCAGAGAGCACCTTTTTTTTCCAGACCACTGAAAGCGCACTTCTTGACAGTAAGTGCCTGCTGCTGTTACCAGCCGTTGAGATAATGCCAATGCTCGGGCTGTAAGGTCCGAAATTTAAACTGAACAGAATGTACGCAAGTCTCATAAGCGCAAAAAAAAATTTTTTTTCACAAAAAATCCTAGTTCTGTTATAAACTGTTGAAGTCTTAAAACATCGCATATTAATTATTTTCACTAGAACATTAGATTTCATCAGAATCCAAAATTGTTTGATTTAAAAACTTCGCATTCTTGAAAAAATACAAATCTTACAAAAGTAAAAGTAAACGTCTTACTAGTATTTTTAACCGGAGGAAAATGATCTACTTTGCTCTCTAAAAACAGGGAACAAAGTTGTACTTTCGACGAGGCGTGTTAGACAAATTTTATTTCTTTTGTCTTACTTAACTGTTTATGTCCTAATACCCATGTTTTTTATGGTAAAAATGACGATTTTTGCACTTATAACTTGTATTTTGTTTACACTCAACAAACTTAGTTTACGATACCTTAAGTTTTCCTAATGTTATGCCGTTTAACAGTTTACATTTACTTATATTTACTTATATTTACGTCTTTGTCCTAAAACGAATTTTATTATAATAAATTGAAAATTGTTTTTTTACCATAGTAATAATAGTAATAGTAAATATTTATAGTAGAAGAACTATTCAATCATAATTTTATACGATATCTACCCAAAAAAGCTTTTGAACCTTATCTAATTGATGACAAATAGTCCTGTCAGGAAAGAGCTACAAAATAATTTATGGCATCTTTAGCGTTCGTAGATGTGAGCTTTACATACATTTATACATTTTAAGTATTCAAGTTTACTATTTAGTTCCAATTTACAAGTAAACATTTTGGTTGCTCATCGAATTTACTATCAATATAGCAGTTTTCAGAAAGTTATTTGAAATAGTCATTTTTTAGTTGCATACTCTTTTGCATTAGTACTTCAAAATTTTCATAATGCATAATGCTAGATGATTTGTCTTAATAAGTGCGTATAATTAAATAATACGTTCGCGTGATGTATCAGCATTTTTTTTTGCTAGTCTCAAGCCTGGTAGAAACTGACAAGGTTTTGGTTTTTTTGCTTACAAGTGAAACTATTACATGACATTATAAGGGACAAAACTTGACAGTTCACTCTTGACCGTGAATTTCCCCTCCCCTTCCCCGAGGCTTTGTCAGAAGCGGATGATCGAGCTTCATCTCTTGTAATGTATACTATTTTTCTCACTGCTCTGGTTGAAAATTCGTGGTCCATTAGTCATAAGAAAACAGTGAACTTCAGTGATGATGGATTATGTTTAATGCAAAAGCAAAGGGACTGTATCATTTCCTAACATCTAGAATCTGACCGAAGCAAAAGCTGTTGTTTAGTGGATATAAACAGGCCCAAAAAGCAAAAAAAAATTGGTCCAAACGACTTATTTTTTAGACTCCTGGGCATTGGTTGCTGCAAAAGTCACATAATTGATTTTTATAAGATTTACCAACATTCATTTAATCATTGTTTCTTTCTTTAGTTTGAGGTTTAGAAATTTACTACGTTGAATACTACCGAAAGAGATTGCATGCATTACACGACAAATCTATAGTCATATCCGAGTTAAACGCGTGCTCCATGTAGGAGCTCTCTCGCAGCTTGAAAAAAAATGCAAAAATTTAAAGGATTTTTAATGAAATTAGGTGGTTCTGACCGAATTTTCTTGCTTCTTGGATCTGTTAACATCCACTAACTAACAACCCTCGCTTCACTCGGATCGTAAATGTTAGCGGATGATACAGTCCCTTCACTTTTGCCCTAAACATAACCTATCACTACTGAAGCTAATTGTTTTCTGATTGCTAAATTGCTAATTAACCACGAGTATTTAGCTGAAGCAGTCAGAAAAACAGCTATTAAAACTGTTATAAGTGGGCAAAGCTTGAGTTAAAAACTGTCGTCAAGGGGTTTTTTCTTGCCCAATCCTATTACTCCATCCGTTTGTTCATAAGTATAGCTATACATATGTAAGAAGGTCAGCCAGTCACGGGTATGAGAGAGAGAACGAACGTACTACTTTTCGTAGTCTGTCTCTCTCTCTCTTTCATCTCGCAGTCTAAGCGTACGATCCTCCAACTACATCTTATGCTCTAAGTATGCCGAGTACCTTCACTTATCAAAATGCACTGAAGCTAGATAATGTGTTTCTTATTTGGTAAAATTTTTTACTATTTTATCAAACTTTATTTATTAGATGTTGCCAAGAAACATAACTAATTTTAAGGCTGAAAGCTAAAAGACACGTTTTTAAGCAGTACATAAGTATACAGACGGACTACTCACGTTTGAGTCCCACCAAGTAGTGCAGAGTCTGATGGCTGGCTGGCCGGTTTTCGTAGTTCTGAAGTTACAGTGTTCGTCACGGCGGTAGATTCCAGGTGGTATCATCGTATGCCCAAAGCGAAAAGCCGCACTCTGAAAAATATGACTGATGCCTGGATGTAGGTCTGGATTATAGCCTGTGTAAGCCGGTAGATTAAAACCCAGTAGCGACGGTAGGTACTCGTACATGATAATGTTCTAAAACATAAGTAATTATTATGAGACACGAAACAAGCAAAGACCATTTTACACTTGTAATTGTAGGTGTGTATGGTTTTTTAAAAAGAGAAGAGTATGCATCTAGGACGGAAAAGTATTAAAAATTTTAGATCGAAAACTTAGCAGTACTCACTCTTAACTGTGCTGTGTACAGATTGTTTAAGCCCTAGCAACAAGTAAAATACATAGCTTATTCATTTTTATCTGTTTTTTAATTTGCTTCTGTGTTTATTTTTTTCTCCTTTCTCTACTCCTGGATATTAGAAATAATAGACAATAAATATGAATGTAATTGTGGAAACTGTGTAGAAAATCATAAAAAATTATTCTTGAACGATTTATTTTGTAAGTCAGCTTTCCAATAATAATGCCATCGGTTGTCCACTAAAAAACAATGTGCAGCGTTTTAGTCTTTACATAGACTGTATGTCATGCAATGCTCCAAAGAAATACATCAATGTTAAAATTTTTTTCTCTCTTTATCTGTATAAATAGATCATCTCACTTTGAAAGTTAACTTTTCTGGTTGTTGAATCTTTTTTAACCATACTTTGCTCTTTGTAATAGCAGTAAAAAACATCTTCTTCACTGTTTTATTATATAAGCTCCACTAAGTCTCCTTCGTATTATATATAAGCTCTAAATCTAGTAAAATGCATAAAGGATAAAGCCCCCCACTCTCTACTGGTATTGCATGAGTTCCACTGCCTTACTCAAGGGTGGGCTTGCGGGGATTAACCACAGCTCTAACATCAGGATAGTCTCGCTCATGTATTTTCTGAATCCATAATGCAGGTAACTAACTGACTATCTCATATTGAAACTTCTGTCCGGTATTGGCATAAAAAAGCTAACTTTAACATACATTTGAATGCTTACAAGAGCGATAAAAAGGTAAACAATGGCCAGCAGTAGTAAATATTTCTTATCTATTGTGATAAATGTAGATTTGCTCAGCTAAACCAGTGCCTGTGCATTGGTATACTACCTCACAATTGACTGAACTGACTACACAAGTCTATCTAAGTGAGAAATTAATAAAGTGATACTCGGTGGTGGTCATGGCTCAACGACTAGCGTAAAATTTCGGAAAGCCTTAACTTATCGATTTAAGCATCTGCTCCAATTTGTCTGCTGCAATGGGGTGTAACCTACATGAGAAAATAAAAGACGTGCTTTCTGTGTTACAGAAATCAGAACACGTATAGTGAAATTCAGTGAATCTTTTATAAGTAATCTCAAGAAAAAGAGGATTAGACATTATGTTTTTAGAAATACTTTCAGCATTAATAATAATCAGCACATGATGTGGTATAGATTTACATAGCAATAAAGTATAACAGAAATACCGTTGCTTTTACGATAAAAATTCCTGTGATTTTTCCTACGCGCGATATTTATACAATTTTCTCTTCGAATAAAAGCTCAACTTTTTCATTTATGTAGTTCTTTATAATTTAAACTTAATATATTATCCCACTCATTTTTAAACAACTTTTTAACTTGCTTCCCTGGATGAATACAAATTATTTCTAAAATATACAGAAACCAAACCTCTCCTAAGGAACACCTAAAAGTGACACTTTGACAATTATTTGAATTATTATATCTCATTTACAAATAACTGAAAATTGATACACGTATTCTTGAAACCTTATTCAACAATATTGTACGAATGAAAAGGTAAATTCTAATAATTCAAAACATATTTTCTATGACTTTATGTGCAAGTTGCATATTTTAAGGATATAATTATTTGTATATGAAAGGTAATGTTTTGGATAATCGGATGTAAACTGTTGTTATACAAACGCTATGAGAAACATGGTTAATTTTTTTCAAATCATTTCATGTTTTTATCTATGAGTACAAAAGAGTTGAACATATGATGCCATATTGCAATAATCCATCTATGTATGTGAGCCGTGGAGAAAAATTTTATAGGGCCTTTGACGATTTTTACTGTTCATCGCGGTAAAAATTGACTAAGTTAGGTCAAAAAGTTCCGTGATGTCACTTTGTCCCACGATTGACATTTGCACGGTAATATTTATAAGGATAATCACGGTAAAATTTATAGTTCTTTTCTCTTAGTGTGAACATGCTTTTAAAAAAAAAAGTAAGGTACACATATAATAAGTACTAATTATAGAAATGCCTAAGCAGCAAATTAACTGACCATACAACTCTTTAAAAAATTTTTGATTTAAATAATTAAACGCATGTTATAAATGTCTTGATAAACAAGTCCAAACTGCCTAGTTATAATTTCTGTTTTAATAGTCTTTACTCAGCTGAACACTCTGCAATGGAAAAATCCAATATCAAAAGGCTGTCAAGTGAAGAGACATGCCTATCATAGATGAAGCATACGTACAAATGGGTAAAATTGGCTATAGAAATAATTTACTTCCTAAAGCTTTTTTATGTCAGCTGTTTACGCTGTTTGCAATCGTAATTTGATAAAGCATTTATATTTCACGTTCGCTCGGCTGAGTACGAGGTAGGGGCATGATTTTACGAGTTGGACACGATCACTGACACACAAACACTAGTTTATCTAGACTGGTTAGAACTTTTTTTTTAAATCTTATACAAGCTGAACTTGGCATGCTGCCCACCAAACGCTGCTACTCACATGTAACAACCAATTAGATTCTACGTAGTGGCTGAGCTTGTGTAAAAATAATCTATAGTAACAAACCCATTAAAATGAAACGAATTAATGAGATAACACTTTAAAAATTTATAAAATAAAAGCAGTTAGCTGGCTTAAATAGAAATTTACTAAAGATACATTGTACAAGTAATTAGATACAAGTAGATGAAAATTGTAAATCACTCGTTTTCTCTAGTTGCAATAGCACCCTCCGTAGAAAAAGGAACCTGCTTGTACATTTCGTTTAATCTTAGAGACTGACTAGCTTGGCGATAGGGCACCTTCCAATGTAGTTAGCTATTTTGATACCTGCTACTCTTACTAGTCCATCGCTTTCAACGTAAATTCTCACGATGCAGCCCATCAGCCGCTTGAAAGGTGGTTGGAGCTCCTTCTTAACGAGGACGACGTCATCGCTATGGGTTAGGGTGCTCTATGCACCTTTGTTGGAGCTGAGACTGGTACTCAGCGTTCCACCACGCTCAGAACACATATATTAGCGCCTATACGCGCTGCTACTTGGCATTGAGTGTATACCGTGAAGTGTATGTAGTGAAGTGAAGTGAAGTGAAGTGTAGCCAGATGCATCTCACAAATCAGGAAGAGGATAGCTTGGTGCTTGGCAAGCAGAATGATTGGATGCTTTTCTGATTTGGCTAGAGCCAAGTTCCGCTGGTGATCACCTACTTGTATCATGCGGTTAGCGTCTATGAAGGGGCTTAGTCAGCATAGGTCACTGAAAAAGCTGACGACACGATTGGCTAGCGCCGCACTGTATTCATGCAAGAGTTCGAGCTGCTATACTAGACGCTACAGATAGGTTCGCCTCACAGAGATCGTGACTGCTTTAAGCAACGGTGGCATTCTAGGCTGTAAAAAAGTTAGAAAATTCTTAAAGTGGCACACGTAATGCAGACTTTGAATTATCTTGTTAAGGGGAAAATGAGCTGATAGCCACTCTTGCCAAAAGGTCACATCATCGCAATGCTGAGAAAAATGCTCTTCCAACAAGCCTCCAAATAAGTTCTAGGCTTCTGCAAGGGGGAGGGGTAGTATTGATTTGGCTCAGTCAGTCAGGAGGATCTGTAACCCCAGAGAGTATAGACTTGCAATAAAGCAACTGTGCAATCACGGGAGGTACAGTTGACAGCATTCTGAGTTAGCACGTGATGTTAGATGGCTGTAGGCTAAAGGGCGTGAATCTTTAGAACGTGGCAAGCAGTGAAAGCTTAACATCGCATTAGGTGCCCTTAGAAGCAGGCAAGCACAACCTACAAGTATGTCCTACAGTAACATTTGGTAGTGCTTGGATCAATGTCAATGGGCACAAAATGCAGTAGCTAAATAAAAATTGCAATCCACAGTGCTCCAGGCGTGGGACATTTAGTACTCTAATTGGCAGGACACTTGACTTAGGAACCAGAAGACGCAATTGGCTGCTCACTACAGTGTCTGCTACAAGATACACGAAAGCCATCCAAGCTTTTTCGGAGTCATCTGAGATTCTGAGAAGTTCAAGCGTGGCTCTAGATGTTGTTACAAATAAATGGCCGTAACATTAGTTGAAGAGAACAAATGTTTTAGTTTAATAAGTTTGGGGACCTAGTCAACTAAACAACGATTTAATTTTTTTTTAATGTTACTTCTAAAAAAAAAGGTTTTCAAAACTGTAGGAATAATTGTTTTAAGTTGTATCAATAAGACTTTGATAAATGAAGTATAAAATCAAGCTTTACTAGGAGTGCCGTGATAAGAAAAGTATATTCAAATCGACTAAATTAAAGTTTTTTTGTATTAACGATTAGAAATAAGCTCATAATTTCTTATAAATCAAAAGAAAGTTGTTTTTCAGATTTAAGTAAGACTCGTTATGGAAATTGGTATGCTTATATTCTTTAGAAACAGCATAGGAAAAAGAGTGAGGCAATGCTATAATGATAATGCAGAAGATAATAATCACCATAGAGACAATTTAAGAAAAGTCTCAAAGATACATCGCCTTATTTGACATGAGAAATTTGAATTTATAATTATCAACAAACTGTTTGCTTATGACAACTGTAAGGAGGTAAAGATTTTTTATAATATCCCTACGATTTTGATATAATAATCTGTAAAATGAAATAACGAGAACGAAGTTTTTTATGTCACGTGCATGGGGGGCTGAAGTTTTCAAAACGACAGATTTTCATGAAACGGAAGTCGCTTACTAGAAGTCTCTTCTTTTTAATTCATTTTATTTCGCCCTTACCCCGTCGCCCTCACCATCAGTCCCCTACACACTTCCTCTCATTCTGTCTCTTCCAACTGTGCTGCGCTAATCTCTTGGACACCTCCTCTCATCACTCCCCATTTTACTTCGCCCCGCCATTCCCCTTTACACTACACCATCAAAGAACAAACACCAAGCAATTAATGTTTTATTCTGTCATATTTTTCTATCCCCACAATAATTTTTATTTTACTTTAGGTTTTTATCTCCTACAATTCAAAANCTAAAGTTCATCAACTAAAGTTCTATTATTACTATTTTTGATTATATATATGTGGTTATCACTTCCATCGTCACTTGTCTTGTAATTTAGGTATTCATTTTTGTAAAAACAGTATCAGTAGTAAATTTTTTTGGAAACTTTTTCGTAAAAATTTTTTAATTACTAGTAAGACATGAACTATCTTCACTATGAGGTTTATGAAGCAGGTGTTCAATAACTAATTTTTGCTAACTTAATCTATGTGTATAGTCGTTAATAGTTTATTGTTTATGTACAATGTTACAATAATATGAGAATGAGGTAATCCTTTTTTTTACAATTCAACAACGTAAACAAAAGTAATAACTTTTTCGAAAATATTGTGTTAGTTTTATCGACTAAAATTAAGTTCAATAAAGTAATTAAGTACTAAAGCAGACTAAAAAT